CAAATGAGTCTGGAAACGCTGGACACCCACATTGGGAGAGGGGGAAACGGGGATCGGGACCCCTACCTCACACCACACACACACTAATCTGAGCTAGATGGCAGACCTAAACCTACAAGAAGTATAAAGTTTAAAAAAAAATAAATAAACAACACACCTAGGAGAATATCTTCATGATCTTAAAAGGGGAACGCTTCTTAGAGAGGATACAAAAAGCACTACCTATGAAGCAAAAATAATGGTAAATCAGACTTTATTAACATTACAAACTTCTGCTGAACAAAAGATTATGTTAATAAGGTTAATAAGCAAGTCGAGCTTGCGAGGAAATATTCACAACACACAGGACAAATGACTCATTGAAACTATGTATAGAAACTCCTACAAGCCATTAAAAACACAAGGAACCTAATGTTTAAAATGGGCAAAGACATAACTAAACATTTCTCCAAAGAGGATGTACAAATGGCAGATAAGCACCAAAAAAAAAAAAAAAGAAAAAGTACTCAGCATCACTGATCATCAAGGAAATGCAAGTTAAGTGAGGTGCTACTGTGAGTCAAATGAGATGCTACTGCACACCCTGTAGAATAGATCAAAGGAAAAGAAGTGACAACACCGAATGTGGGTGAGCCCGCGGAGCAGGTGGCTGTCCCCTACACCTGCTGACTGGGATGCAAAACGGCGCAACAATTCCAGGAGGCCATTTGGACATTTCTTAAAACGTTAAATACGCCTCACCCTACAACCTGGCCACCGGGAAGAAACGCAAATCTATGCCCACAAAACACCTTGTACGAGAACGTTCGTCGCAGCTTGTTCACAACAACCAAAAACTGGAAGTGAGCTCAGACGCTGACCCTCTAAACAGGCTGTGGCACGTCCATACGATGGAATGCTAGTAGGAAATAAAAAGAAACAAAACCCTGGATCTCAGAACCTTCATGCTGGGTTGGAAGATGCCAGATACCAGAGAATTCTCGAATGTTCCTCAAAAAGCACTATCTATGGTGACATTACTCGGACCAGTGACTGCTTGGGGTGAAGGGCAGGAATTGGGTGGGAAGAGGCAAGAGAGAGCTTTCTGGGGTGAGGAAGCCGTGCCGGATGTTGTCGGGGGTGAGGACAGCACGGGTGGCCACTCTGCGCGCTCACCGTACACTGTCACACACCTCAGGCGGCCCTACTGTGCTCTCCTTCCTCAGTGTTTCCAGAACCAAGTCCAACAGCCTTCTGCTCCTCCAAAGACCACCACTGACCTCAAGCACCCGCACCCCGGCCTCTGGCCCCGGTGTCACCTAGTCACCCAGAACATGCCTGTGGTGGGTCACGCCTGTGCCTCTGTACCACACGGCCCTCTGCAGCTCACCAGCAAGTTCCTGCTCGGGCACCTCCTCCTCCAGAAAGCCCTCCCAGAATCCAGCCAGCCAGGTGCACCCCTTCCGAAGCCCTGATCCTCGGGGCCCACTTCCGCCATAGCCCCTGGCACTTCCTCCTATGGGAATGGGCTTTCCAACCGCTCGGACTGCATGAGGGCCTCACAAGGAACCAGTGTGTCCTGACTTTACATCACCAGCTCCTGGCACAAAGTTGGGCACAAACACCTAGGTGGACCCAGGAAGCCCCTTGGCAGAAAAAAAAAAATTAAAAAAAAAAAGGAAGAAAAAGAAAAGGTCCTGAGGGGCAGAGAAGCGAAGAGAAGGTCTGATACCAAGAAGGAAGCTAGTCAGGACCCTACGAGGTGCCAGGGCGTCCAAGACCACGTTTCCAGAACGTGCTCCAACGCCTGCTGCACCTAGTCTCCGGGTGCCACGGCTGAGCGGCTCCCCCACCCCCTGCCCGCCAGCAAAGCCACAGGTTGCCCCCTGCCCACCAGCCCAGAGCCAGTCTGGGCCGCCCAGGTGCCAGATTCCAGAGTCCAAGGCTTTGAGGCTCCATTTGTTACACGATGTGAAAGAACAAAGAGAAGTCTGTCACCAGACTTAAAGTCCTTTTCACGTTGATATGCCAAGTGTAGTCTTTTCACAGGCAAATCTGATTATATATGTTACGTTCCTTGACAAAGAGAGAGGGACTTCAAATGTGTAATAAATGGTTAATATGTCTATTTGCTTCGCTCCCAGATTACTTTTTTTCCTTTAAAAATTAATCGAGGGCGCCTGGGGGGCTCGGCCGGTTAAGCATCCAACTTTGGCTCAGGTCACGATCTCGCAGTTTGTGGGTTCGAGCCCTGCGTCGGGCTCTGTGCTGACAGCTCAGAGCCTGGAGCCGCTTCAGATTCTGTGTCTCCCTCTCTCTGCCCCTTCCCCACTTGTTCTCTCTCTCTCTCTCTCTTTCTCTTCCTCTCTCCCTCTCTCTCTCTAAAAAATAAACATTTAAAAAATTCGTTTAAAAATTGATCAAAGTCTACTGCGCCTTTTCAACCACAGATGTTTCAAGTAGCAGGTGGGTGACAATACGCTAGGCTACAAGGGAGACGGCCTGGGTGGAAAAGGGATAAATCCCAAGGCTCCAACAGCAGCCACCGCGCACCAGGCCCTGGCAGGGGGGCGGGATTAAGTCTCCTTTTGCAGGAGGGACAGCACAGGGGTGCAGAGAGTCGCATGACTTCCCTGAGGTCAGGAATCCGAGGGGACCCAGAGCACGTGTTCCTCCCACCGTCACAAAGGTTCCACCCCTAAATCTGACTGACACCTGCCCTTGAGAAACTTCAAAGAGAGTGAAATTTTAACAGGATAAACAGCTGAGAACAAAGAGAAAACCTAACTCTAGGCTAAGTCCCTTCTACGTAATTAAATTGGCCCGGCTTGATGGGGAGATTTTCAGAGGCAGCAAGCATGAAACTGTCTATAAAAGGAAATGCAATTAAGGAGAGTCTTTTCAATACACCTAATTCTTCGACTGCCCTTGCCCCAGGCAGAAACTTAAATCTACTTAAGGACAGCTATCTTTGAAGAGTTGTTATGTAAATTAGAAGGAAAGGGGAAGGAAGACACAGGAAAGGTTTTAGCAGGTATGTGAGAAAGGCCTAGAAGGATCGATCAATTGATCACTCGCCCTGTGATGACCATCCACCAGTTTACACTGAAAACCTGCCTAGACCGCAGGTGAGCCTGCTATCTGTATTGTGTGCTTCCCTAAAGTAACCTAACAACCAAGCAAAACAGGAAACCCTTTTCAGAAATTAGCTGATCACAGGGCGTCTGGGTGGCTCAGTTGGTTGCGTGTCTGACTTCAGCTGAGCTCACGTTCTCAGGGTTTGTGAGTTCAAGCGCCGCGTCAGCTCTGTGCTGACAGCTCAGAGCCCGGAGCCTGCTTTGGAGTCTGGGTCTTTCTCTTTCTCTCTCTCTCTCTCTCTCCCCCCCCCTCCCCTGCTTGCTCTCGCTTGCTCGCTCTCGCTCTCTCTCTGAAAAATAAACATTTTTTAAAAATTAAAAGAAAATTAGCTGATCACGAGTTGACAGTAATATACTTAGAAACAAGGTCTCTTGTTTATTACAGCTGGAAATTGAAGGGAACCACACAAATGCCCAGGCTTCTTTTTTAAACACTGTTCAGTCAACTCCAAACAGGAGGCTTGGGCAGTCGTTCTGTGTATCAGCCTTAGAGGAATGACCGGGAGGGGAAGGCGGCCAATCAAGCTGTCCTTACGTTAAGAAAACACGCAGGTGCAGGTCGGGGGGCCTGACCCCGCCACTCGCTCTGGGTCCGCCGCACACACCCCAGCATGTGACAGGCCCGCAAGGCTCTGGCTGGAACTGAGGAAGCCAGGTAGAGTGCCCCGGGGTGGCACCCGTCGGCCAGCACACACGGCTCCGGGGGGTCTTCTTCAGCCTCAGCTGGGGACACTCCCTACAGCGTCACAGACCCTACGATACGAGGGGACGGTCGTGGAGGGTGAACCCCTGGCCGTGAAGTTTGCATTTCTGAAAGGTCACTGGGCTCTGCCAGGTAAGGGGGCTGCAAGAGGCAGCGGTTAGTTCACCGGCTACGTGCAGACCGAGCTCGGACTGGGGGCCAAGCAGTAACGGGGGCACGAAGCACAGCCAGGCAGGCACGCAGGAGTCAGGATTTCACCCCAAATTGGAGGAAGACGTCTTTGAAAGTCTCAACTCTGACATTTAACACTGTATGCAGTTGACCTCTCTGAACCTGTGTCCCTCATCAGTAAATGACACACAATTACAACTGCCGGGGAAGCGCGCAGCAAAAACCCTGAGGTCCGTGCCAGCGTGTGGTCGATGTTGTTAACCACAGGTGCTCAAGGTTAAGGTTAAGGGTAGGACACCTACTGGGGCCAGTCTGCCGAGAGGCTGGCTCGGCGGCGGCGAAGCCAGAGAGGGCTGTCTGGAGGAGGTGGCATTTGAGTTTAACTTCAAAGGGTGAGGAAAAGGGCCTGTCAAGAGCCGGACGGCCGGTAAAGGACAAAGGACAATCAATCACTGCGTGCCGCACAGGTACCAGCAGCATCAACACTCCCTGGCGGTGATGGATCCCTCTACAGGGCACAAAGCCTTGCTTCAGCAGCTCGGTGGAACCCTGTCCCTACGTGGGTGTAAAGGAGCTACCCACTTCACAGAGGAGGAAACTGAGGCGCGGCAAGAAGGAGGCCCCAGCCAGGGATCGCTGGCTAGAGTTGGCAGGCAGGGGATTCGAACCTCCCGCCAGCCAGGACGCCTGAGATCCGTCTCCGGCGCGCGCCCGGCCCTCCCCGTTGCCCTGGAAACGGCTTCGCGCGCGCAGTCTCCCCTCGCTCACTCTCCCGCAAGCTCGCTCGTGACTTTTTTAAATAAAACCCCGAGGCGGCGGGATACCACCAACGACAGAACGTGCTGTCGAAGGACGCCGCTACGTCCGCTCTCCGCCCAGGGCCGCGGATCCCTCCGCCGCCCGGCGGCCCGCGCGCTTCTTCCCGACTCCAAACTCGAAACGGCTTCCCGCGCGCCGCGCCGCGCCCCACCCCCACCTCATCCCCACCCCAACCCCCCAGCCCGGCTCACCTGCCGCCCGCGTCTCCATGGCAACGCCCCCACCGCAGAGGAAAAAAAAGCCTCGGTCTCTTCCGGGACCCCTCCCGCGCCGATCGAGAAGGCGGGGCGCCCCGCTGATGCTTCGCTTTTTATTTTTATTTTTTTAAGAAAAGAGCCGGCGAGGTTATGGCGAATCTGCGGCATCCAACATGGCGGATGGAGTCTTCGCCCACCTCTTCACGGGGCGCTGACGCCGGCGTAGCGGACGTCAGCCTCGGGTGACCCTCCCCCCAGCGCAGAGCGCGTCGAGGCTGGGCCGGGCTCGTGCGCATGCTCCCAGCCGGCGGCCGCGCTTGGCGTCCCGCTCCGGCCGCTCCACCGCTCCGCTTTTTGGGCCTTTCCCGGGAAGGAGCTAACGAGAGGCCTGGAGTGCGGATCGCAGGATTGGGAGTCTTCGCCCTTCTGCGCGGAGCCGGCCGATCTACCTGCCTGTGCGTCCTTGGACTCACCTGCCCTGGAGCCACCCGGCTGGAGCGTTCGGGTTCCTGTCCCAGTTCTGCCCTTTACTAACTAATCGGGGACAGCGGTTTAACTTTCCTCGGGGTCAGTTTACTAAAATGTCAGCCGGGGAGGTTGCAGCCCGGGTGCTTGCAGTGCTCCCGTAGCGGAGCTGGATGGCTCTCCGCTGGGGGGCCCCGGCTCGACTTAGTCCGGGGGCTGCAGCCAGAATTCCGCAGCCTGGAGCCTCGTCGGGAAGGCGCCCGCGCTCCCCCGAGTGTCCTGCACGGGGTCTGGGTGGCGTGTGAGCGCGCGTCGCTCCTGTCCCCGAGTCCGGCGCACGGCCTGCCATCTGCAAGCAGCCTGTGATGTAGTGACCGGGTTTTCAGTTTCCAATGTGGAGGGGACACGCTCTGCCACTTCCTTGGGATCTCCGCTCCAGTGACATCTCCAGGGGGGCCTCCTCGACCCCTCCATCCAAAGTCACCCTCCTAAGCCTCTGTTTTGCACATAACCTCTGTTACTGCCTGACACGAACTTATCTCCGTCTCTCCCGGAAGCTAGAAATGAGCCTGACAGCTATTTATTGAATAAATTAATGAGCCTGTGTTGCTTGTGTCTTTAAGGTTATCTTTTGTTTATAGCAAATGATAATGTTCTTCATTTATGGTAGCAATATAGTTCTTTTTTTTTTTAACACAACTTCTTTACGTTTTAAAGAGTTTTCAAGGAAATGGTACATCTGCAGAGAGAGGAGAGAAGGAAACATAAAAGCGAACATTGGGTGACGTGTTTGGGAAGCACTGATTTATTTTTATGGTTCCGCCCCAAAAGACTTATCTTTGCCTGTTGCAAGTCTTTTTTTTTTTTTTTTTTTTCTGGAATCCTGACTGTTGGCTGCTCAGCTTGAGATGTCCTTCAGACAGTCCTGACACTCCCACCCATGTGTCCCCTGGACCCTGGCTTCTGCTTCCCTTGTCCCTCTCCTGACGTGTATTGTATCTGTGTGTGTGCAGCCCTTGGCCCATGCGCCACACCAGGAGCACAGAGCTACTTGGTGCTCTCTCTCTTTCTCTCTCTCTCTCATGCTGGTTTCCCAGTTCCCACTGCGCACCAATAGTAGTGAATGGACAACACATTCGTTCCCAGTGTCACCTGTGTTTCAGGAGTAAAACTCCCACGGATGACGCATCAACTTTCTCAGGAGCCATGTGTCTTGTTCCTGAATCCTGTTCTTGGGAGATAAAGAGTCCTCAAAAGACCCCACATTTGCCCAGTCCACTAAATCTGTGTTCACAGATGTCTCCTTCCCCCACCCTTTTCTTTCACCATGATAACAACTAGGGAGGTTAAATTGGACAGATACAAGTATTGTTCTTTTCTAGATGAGGAAAGCAACGTTCAGAGAGGTTATGTGGCTTTATGAGATCACACAGCAAGCTGGTGAAGACCCAGGTGTGAAACTAGTCTCTCCCCACTGAGTGTTCTTCCCATTTTACCCTGTCACCACCAGAGGCCTGCCTGAATGACCCACCATGCCCCCAAAGGGCCAATTCCGAGGCTTTTGGAAGGTTACAGCTCTTCCAAGGCTATCGGTACACACCCACCGCATCCTACATCACAGAGAGATGGCTAGGTAGAGCCCATCACAGATTTCGTTTGGAAATGAACCGCTCAAATCGCTGCATTGATGGGCTTTTCCTTTTAGAACTATAAATATTTACAATAATCACTATTTTGCTGTGGATCGATGTCTGTCAGGAAACTAGAGTTGTTTTGGTCACTGACAATATTGCTTTCATGCTGGGCTGCTTTCTTGCAGATGCACTTAAATGTTGGTTATTGATTAGAAGATGGATGGTTCCTGGATGTTGTGGCCGAAATGAATTTTGGAAATGAAGCAATTTAAAATTTACCTTAAAACTAGTTTGCCTCAGAATATGAACAAAGTCAAATTAAAAACAAAAAAAGAAAGAAATTGTGAGTTACAGGTGATGGTCCTGAGTTCATTATTTGGACAGCTACGATTTTCTTTATTATTCCCACAGCATTCTCTTCCTTCTCTATCCAAAGAAGATTCACTGAACCAGTATCATTACTGAAAAACTGGCCAGGCCACAAGCGGATGGAAACGACAAAGACTCCCTTTCTATGGGACCAGATTGGCAAGTGGAGAAATCAGTCGGCCCCCGTTCATCCATCACTCTCCTGAGGGATTTGCACATTTTCAATCGGAAAAGATCTTCATTCTTTTCATTTGCCAGTAATACCTCAAAATGCCTTCAATTATTGAAGAAACACTAGTACAATTAAGTATAAATTGCTCAGAATTATTTAATTAATGGCATCCTACTTCCACAATGGTTCCCAGAGGAGATCAGCTTCCCAGCTGGCCCTTTGGTGAAGATCAGCCCCTCGAGGCTGCCACGTGAAAGAATTTGTGCCAAGGGGTTTATCAACCAACATGAGATGGCTTTTAGTTCTGTAATAAATTATCTATGTCATTGAATACATTTTCGTCAATAATTTTATAATATCTAAATGACAAATATTCATTTACGTGAAAAGAGAATATATACATAATTTTAGGAGACTTTCTTGAAAGCAGGTTTTGATAAAGGACACATACAGGTGACCTCCAAATGATGGGCCTTGCGGCACACAGCAATGATAAAATCAGAGGTGGGGATAATCAGAGTCTGAGTGACGTGTTAACAATCTACATAGGCATGCTGTAGTGAAAAATTCATTTAAAGTTGTATAAAAGAAAGTGGGGTAGTAATATTTAGAACAATATGAGCAGTCCCACTGGGAACAAAATTATGACCTTAGGAACAACATCTTCTCTGAGTTCTGTCTTTTCCATGGCAATCGGGTGCTGCCCCACCACCAGTCAGCCTGTACCCTCAGCCCCTAAATATTGATCTTAACAGTACTTTTCATTAGCAGTAGCTGGGGCTCCTTCAAAGAAGTTGAGTCCATGTTTGGGAGCAGGAGAAAATTGGAATGGCCTGAAACATCTTGCTGTTACCAGAAAACCAAGATGCTGCAAAAGGGGCTGGGCTCTTGCTGAAAGGCAGCCGTCCGCTGAGAAAGCAAGCCAGCCCCTCTTCCCTGCACATCTCAAAAAGGAGCAGGTCTATGGTGGTTGATCTATGAGAATAAAAGTTGAGCCTAGGAAAGGCATGGGGCTTTAATGATAAAAAAGGAAAAGTCAGGGGCTCCTGGGTGGCTCGTAAGTGTCCGACTTCAGCGCAGGTCATGATCTCACGTGAGTCTGAGCCCCGCGTCAGGCTCTGTGCTGACAGCTCAGGGCCTGGAGCCTGCTTCGGTTTCTGGTCTGCCTCTCTCTCTGCCCCTCCCCTGCTCATACTCTGTCTCTCTGTCTCTCTGTCTCTCTCTCAAAAATAAATAAACATTTAAAAAAAAAAGGAAAAGTCAGGCGTAATTACAAAGTGTATTACAATTCAAAAAACAGAATAGTTTCATCAGTGGGTACATTTGGCGTATATGGGGTCCTGTCCCTACTTGAAGTTCTCCACATCTATTTATGAAGTGATCCATCTGTATAAGTTGAGAAGAGCAGGTAAGTTTACTATGAGTGAGTGAAAAATCTCCAGAAAGAGTCGAAATTGTACCCAAACAGGAAGGGGAGGGTCAAGGCCAGCCGTCTCCTAAGTGACCAGATAAAAGGAGGGTTCAGCGATTGGTGTTGCACGTTCATGGATTAGCCACACGCCCTGGGGGAACGGCTGCCAGCCGCCACTGCTCCACGACCCTGTGAATTACAGGAAAAGCTAGGGTGTGTGATGAAGTTAGTTGTAAACTGAGGCAGAACGTACGTAGCTAAGATTCGCCGTACATGAAGATCTACTGTACAAGAACTGGGCTGTAAGTCCTGCTGACACAGCAGTTGACCCTGGCCTCAGCCAGGGCTCCCCAACCAGCAGACACCTGCTTCCCTTTGAGTCACCTTGAAGGATTCTGTGTTCCAGTTAAAAATCCCAACAGTCGGGGCCCCCAAAGCTGCGATTTCAATGCACCCGGGGAAGAGATAATCTCTCTCTTTTGGGTCTGATATTGCAATCCTGGGAAAGTACAAAAATAAGTTTTGTAGCAATAATAACAAAAAAAAAATCGGTCAAATCAATCGTTAAGATTTTGACAAATAGGTCAAGGGTACAGTAAAAACTTTTGTGCCACTTGGGTGTTCAAAGCATCCAAGAGAAGTTATATCAGAAGTAATGTTGGAAGTTATACTGAGAAGGTAATTTGACTAAATGCGTACATTTTTCAGGAGATATGATTTGTAAGGTTTTACGTTTTTATCAATTGTGCTTGGATAGTTTACAAAAAAGTCGATGGCTTTATAAGTAAGATAAACATTCTTTGAGCCGTCTACCAGCAGCAGTAACTGGGCCATGTAAAAGAAGGGGGTTTGTGTGGCCTTGGATCCTGGCAACAAGAAGGCACACAGGAGCGTTGCCAGAGGCCAACGGAGCGCCAGGCTCATCACAGGGGCCCGATAAACACTTGTGGGGAGAAGAAGGGGAGGGCCTGGGGAGAGGGGCGCACCCTGCGGGTGGCCCCAGGAGGTGAGGGAAAAGGAGCAATGCGTAATTACACACTTAACTTTGTGGCCGTGGGGTGAACAGCACTTGTAGATATTTAGAAGAGAGAAAAAAGAGATTTTGAGAGAAGCACAGGCATCTCGGTGT